GTTTGCTTGATTCGCGGGAGTTCGACGCGTTCCTTGTACGTACTGACGCGCACGGTCACAAGTTTACACAAGTTTGTTTATGGTTTTGCGCGTTTTTCAAGTTGTTATTTGACAACTAAAACGCGTTTCAAGCTAAAAATCGGTTGTTTACGTGTATAAAGATTTTTCACATCCTTTCCAAAAGTTCAAAGATTTATATAATTATAAAATGGACAAAGGAAATATTTTTAAAGAGCTGGAGAAAGTGTTGGAAAAGTTAATCCAGATATAATAAAGGGAACGACTGATGTGTGCGCGTCGTCCAGCTACAAGTTTGCACACGAACTCGCGCGCGTTCGCGCATGTTGTTTTAATACGGAACTTGTCAACTGAGTGGAATCATGCAAGTTATCTGGTGAATGTAACAATTTCGTGCGCGTTTATATCATTTTTTTACAAGTTTTCACGTAGTTAAATCCCCCTAGCTTAAATGACAACTGTAGCGACGCGAGTGCCCACAATTTCAATAGGCAAATCAATGTAATTTCGGAATTTTTTTCCGAACTAAACAGCGCGACAATTTGAATTTTCTTGATGCTGCCACCCTATGGGCCACTATTGACGACAACATGATATTCGTTGTAAAATTTCCTCGCCTCACGGCTAAACAGCTTACAATTCGGTTATTGTGACGTTGCAAAGATCAGCTTGCAACATCTTTGGAGTTGTATTCAAGTAATGGTAACTCATTTGCAACCGAGAAAAATGGGGAATTTTGCTACTCGGGTTGTATGGGTATTATTCTAAAAACATATCAATTTGGTGAATTCCAACAATAGTCGTCATTATAATTATGTTCAAAACTCAATGATCGAATCGGCTAACAGCAAAAGCACGTGTGTTGTCTGCTCGACAAAAATAATTGCGTTAAATTTGCACATAATTTTGTGGTAAAGTTAGTAGGATATCGGCTTGACATATGGGAATTAGTAGCATGCATAAATCACATAATTTAATTTCAACGACGAACTGCCATCGCCTTTGCAAACAATCTGGTATGCACTGATTGCAGTTTCCCACTTGACATGTATCATATGCATTGTTTTTTTAAACAGTCTGTAATCATAAATTTATTCAAGATTTGTAGCACCGATGCATTCGATGGGATTAATCTAAAAATAATAAAATGTGTGTGCAAAAATATCAATATCAAGTGACCTGCCATGTTCATTGAATTGATTTTATTTTAATTATCGCTCACTTGTGTATTGTCCGCATAACACGTCCATTGTTCGTTCAATGCATATACATATAACAAACAAACAGTGGCCACGAAAAATAATAATTTAATTTCCATTTTGACAGTTTATCCCACAGAAGAAATTAGTTTTCAATTCGAAAAATATGCCAACTCACAAGTATGGTTTCATTTCGATTGTAAAACAGATTATATTTACATATATTTACTTGAAAATGAAAAAAAAACACAATCCTTATGTAGTTTTTCTAAAGCTAATTAATGTATAGAAAAAAATAATTGGAACTACAAATTCAAATGGATTATTCACGAAAAAAAAAACAAATAAATTCCATTACTGTTCAAAACTTTCATGCATACATACATACATACAAACTTATATACAATTTGATTTTGTTTTTTTCTTTAGACGAAGCATCCTATATAAGTACGGTATATAGGAAGTTATCCATCAGGTGGCTTGGCATCTGGCATGTACGGTGTATTCTTTTCAAACATAATTAAAATTGCACATTAACTCCGAAATTGTGATAGAACTTCATAGCCGCAAAATGGATTTGAAATTGAAACTGATGTATAAACTATGATTTGGTTTGATTAAAACGATGTGTGTGTTGATTAGATAATAGGTTCCCAAAAATGCGAGAGAGAAAGTTGTGTTTTTTTAATCCATTTAATTTGTATTTGAATTTCGGAGGATTACACTTATTTTTCCGAAACATATCCTGGCCTTAAGGATATATGTTACAGCCTCCACAGTTCAGTCACAAAAACACCAAATCATTCATTCCGTATTTTCTATGTGTACGAACAAAACTTGGAGTATGTCGCGACACGGGTGCCGAGATAAAATTTTGGGCAAAAGCAGGAAAAGCTGGAGCAAAAAAAAATGTTGTCTAAACACCTTAATTTGAATAAATAAATTCACATCCATAATTCAGAACTTTTATTTTGTCACGTGACAAAATACATGGCAGATGATATTAGGAGAGACTTTACACACCACATCGCATCACACGATACAATTTAAAACGAAAGCCAGAAGCACACATAAAGATGGATACTCGGCGTGCTGGTTGTTGTCTTGTATTTCATGAACGACCGTACGAGCTGCAAAAGCAGCTCATATCGGGGAAGATGGTAATAAAATGATAGATTTAATCATTTTAAAGTGTCACCATAATTTAGCACGTCACATAAAAAACAGACACCCATACACAAATGTGAACAAACACGTATTCATATCCAACGGCATAAGACAGTGCCAAATTCGTGTCTGTTCTTTCACTTTTATTCGTTGTCATTCCGCTCTCACCTAGGAATGAATGCATGACTTTGTAATAATGCAATGGATCTCATACATTTTCTGGTTGGTTCGTTTATTTTTTTTTTTTCTGTTCTGTTTTGTTTTGTTTCTGTCATTGCGCCCTCGCATCCTTTTGTGGAAGCATATGTGTGTGGTATTCAAACAGCGACTCGCACTTTGTTTCAGCTAGACATCATGTCGTTTTTCTGCATGCTTTTTTGTCCTCCACACTACGACAAAGCTGGAGTACGAACGTAGCAGATTTGTGATATCGTACATAATAAAATTTTAGAACACACAAGAGACACGCTCATGTCCAAAATAAATTGTTCATGGAATTCGTACGCCTATTTTGTGACTTTCACTTCTCTACTGTCAATTTACCTTTGTTTTTATTCTCTTTTACTTGGCGTGCACTGGACGGCGAGACGTGGCAAGTGTTTGAGTTAATGCAATAATAGAACGCTAATAGAGATCGTAAGAATAAACCAATAAAGTAGACGATTGCATTGTTGCACACTCAGCCTGCTCTACATTAAGACTTTGTTCAATTTACGTTCGCAATCAGTGTGTAATCCGGTGAAATAAAAGTCAAGCCAATCGCCCCAAGATAGAGATGCTGAATCAGAATGCCTTCCCCTTTCTACCAGAAGATTCATTTCAATGTTTGTTGGTGGTTTTTGTGCAGTTTTGCATATTATGAATACAAATAATTTCGATCGGTTATATGTTAGAGAGAGTTGGTTTGCCCACAGCAAGTCTCTCCACATTTTTTTTGAAAAACAAAATCAATAACTGAAGGTCAGAACACATTGCTCGTTATCGAAGCGAAACGACGAGCCCAAATGTGGCAACATTCAAACGCAAAAGTATAGAAATTGTGTTTGGCGCTAAATTGAATTGAGAAAATGGTGCGATGCTTTCGGTGTTGAATTTCTTTTGTTTCGCCTCCCAAAAAAATACAATTGTACACAAATCACGTCTATTCTTAATCAGATATTGATTGGTACTAACGAAGTTATGCTAAATAAATACAAAAGTGATTTCACACATAAACGTGATGAGAATGTTGGCTTAGTAATTACAATTGTTGCTCTTCTTGGTTTTCACGTATCTACTCGTTCGCATTGCCTCTCTTTCACTTTCCGAGACGGTTTTTATGCGGCAAACACACTCAAACTTTTACATAATACATGCAATTGGAATGACGAGGCGGTGTTGCCCATATTTGTGGCACATGGCACGAGCAATCGATGATAAAAGAAAATAATTTGATTTGAATTCACTTCATATAAACGATTTTGACATTTCATGCATGATGTACCCAGCTGGTTAATAGGTTTTTTTATGATTCAAAGTCATTTAGTGCTCGCCACAAATTCGGAAATCAAATTACACGCGTTTATGAAATGAAATTACCTAAATTCATTTTCGATTGTTTGCTTAGTACTTATGGAATTGTTTGCCCATTTGATGGTACACCGGTCGATATATTGAATGTATAATATATATCAAACAATTTAGTTCTTTTCCTACATTTCTTCGGGAAATATCCATTTCACTTTCACATGAATACAAAAAAAATGGAAATTAATTTAATTGTCACCCATTTCTGTTTATTATCTATTTACTTGTTTGTCAATTTTCGAGAGGCATGAAAACATCATAAGAAATAAATTCGAATCGTACATCCGCAAAAATGTCGAAAAGTTGATACGATTTTTTTTTTATACATTGTTCTGATGTCTGAATAATGGTCCCCAAGCATACTATGTAATATATCACTTTTCAGTTGTGTATCTCATTCACTATATCGTTGGTATTGTTGCGGTATATTCCAAAACGCATAACGCGAAAATATGTATTCAAACGTTCAGAAAAATAAAAGCGAGAGAAAAACCAACAGTAAACTGTTTCAAATGTAATAAATTATTCAGTGCCTGTACAATGTAGATTGGTTCATCAATTGGTTTTGCAATAATAAAACAATGAAGAGAGAAAAAATGCACACACACACACACTAGCGTGCTATCAAAATCCGCATCAACTTCAGAACGATGTTGTGTTGCATCTTTACCGATTGGGAATTGCTTTCATTTCAAGGAAAACCAGCATCTTCATGCCGTTTAGTGGTGAATGCGGATGACATTCGGCAAAATATGCAAAACAGACACGTCTGCTGCTCCTCTTTATTCCAATACAAGTCTCATTGAACTTACAACAAAAATTTTACCGGAGATTCGATTTATTTAAAAAAAAAATTCACTCACGAAATGTTTCGAGTTTTGGACGCGTTCGAAATTGCCACAAAATTTGTACGTGATCAAGTTGACAAATTATAATAATTGCGATAGATTTTATGCACTTGTTGTATAGTTGTTGAATTTCAACGGTCAGATATGTATGCATATGTTCAAGTATAAAAAGGCTCAATCTACAGCCATTCGACATCACATTCACTTCAAACGTCGAGCTGAAAGTATTACAAACAAATCAATTAAAATGAACAAGTTCGTAAGTATCAATTTGTGGTAAACCGGTAAATCAATTGTGTCCATTTGGAAGTTATTAGATTGCAGTTTTCATCTCGAAATTATGAATTTGAGCTCTTCCATAAACCCATTTACCAAGTGATTTGAACTCTAATTCAAGTGATAGAATCAAAATTGTTTTTCATATTTTTCTCTCCCCTTTTTGTACTAGGTCGCAGTTGTTGTACTCATGGTCATCGCATGTGCCCAGTCTAAGCCTTCAATTCTTCCAATTGCACCAGTTGCCCCAATCGCATACAGTGCACCGCTTGTAGCTCCAGCTCCTTTGCCATTCGTCACTGCCACTAGTTCACAAGTTGTATGTTTATTTGTTATTTTCTCCGCGAAAATTACGCCAAACTCATTCATTAGTATTTACTCAATTGACTATCAATATTTTGTAGGTGTCAAGAAACTATAATGCCGCTTATGTTGCACCACCAGTAATCGCCGCTGCTTCCCCTTATTTTGCTGCTCCAGCCGCCCCATTGACCTATCCAAGCCCTTACGTGGCAGCACCACTCGCGTCACCCATTTTTCTGTAAGCCATCCGATTTAATGATCTTTCGTCGTCAGCCAGTCATATAAAAAGTGTGCAAATGTAAAATCCAAAGGAAAATAAACGAATCATACATTATGAAACTTTAAAAGTGAGTTTTCAAGTCGTTTTTTTGCTAGCTTTGCAATTTTTCCAATTACGTTGTGTAAATACAATCGAAAAGCCAAAATAATTGAACTGGTTTTAGGGTAGAAAAAAAAAACGAATAAGAAATTGATTAGTTCAATAAAAGTACGAACGATTCCCAAACAAAGTTCTAACGATGTGGAGAAAACGATAGATTTTAGGTTGAGATTTGGTTTTAATTATTTTTAACTTTCGTGCATAGTGCTCAGTGCTTCAATGTTTACGCGACGAACTACTCCGGATTTAATAAAGACTCTCTCAAAATGCCTTCATTCCAATTTCAACAAAAGTTAATAAATGTAGATGTGGCATTTTCATCGCGGGCGCTTCTTCATTTGCGCACTGATGCACACATAATAGAGACACGAAGCGAATCGCTATCGAAATACGTGACGCAATACATATGAGTGTTTGCCTAATAGTTTTAATTACTTTGTCTATCTGAAGAAAAGAAAAATCAAATACTTTATTTATGTAGTTTTCAGTTTCAGCTCATGTTGGATTTTCGATTGAAATGCGCCGATTTCGAATCGATCGTGCGGTTATTCTTGAATGGCAGACAGAAACCGCTTTGCGAATCTCTACTGTCAAATTACACATATAAAGTGAAAATAAAAATGCTGAAAACACACATCCACACATACTGTATGTATATCCCTAATCTGGAAACTTTATGGTTTGCTGCACGCACATCTATTATTTCGATAGTTGTTGGATCATTCAATTTCCAATAGGGTAGAAGAATGAATCGTATACTCAACAATACCGAGGCAACAGTATGAAAACGCTCAACGTTTTATTTTTGCCGGAACAATTTTCTCTGGCATGCAGAATATCGGTTTGCGTGTATGCTCTTCATTTTCTATCAGGTTGGTGGGTTTCCAATAAGACAAAATTCAAATGCATCACATATCTCTGTCTATGTGGGGTGGGCCCAATGTCCTTATCTCTGTCGAATCATTCTCAATTATTTTGATTTTCTTCTCTTACCGAAAACATTCCATAAACTATGGAAGATGCGCAATTTACCAGTACAAAACATCTCTGAAACAAACAAACAAAAAAACACATTTTCAATTTCACTGTCAGCATTCAAACCGCATTCACTCGCACTTGCTTTCCCATTTGCTTTCGCCTGTGCTCATTGAATCTAATAATCTTAATTCTAATTGCTTATGAACTTAATATTCCATTGTTTGATTGTAAACATTTTACTAATTACGATACATTTAAAGTGCATCGACGTGCGTAACGTTTGCATTGCAAATTTTCATTGCAATGAAATTCAAGTGTTTGTTTCAGGCTTCTCCCTTTTATGCCGACACACTATGGGTCTATGCTTATGCATCGGTCTATATCATTTTAGTTCCAAATTTTCTGCAACAAAACATTACAATACAATACAGCGTTTCGTTCAAGTCGTGCGCATTGTTGGCATTTGCATGCAAGCAGCCGACTCACTGTCTCAGCCATTCGTTGAAATATCTCTCATCTTATTATTACATGTATATTTTCTACGTTTTCTGCACTAGAAAATTAAATTCATTGTAACAATGCAATTCATTAGTGCGCATCGTGCATTTTAAATGTGCTGTGTGCACTGGGTAAATCCCGAAGTTGTATCACAGAAGTCAAACAGATTTGGTAATGCCACGATGAAATACGTGGAAATTTTTTGCGCCTTTGTTTCCAGGTCGTAACACTTTTTTATTATTTATCTTTTTCTTCTTCAATTTTGAAGTATCATTAAATTTGTGCAAGATTCTTCCAATTCGAATAGAGCTCAATGCTTTGTTGTTTTTATCTTTTCTCAATATTCAACATCCGTTGGTATGGATGCCATTAACCGAAGCCAAAACAATACGAATGGTATCGATAAGCTGCCCGTTTGTCTGTTTTTTTTTCAAAGCGGCCAAATTTTTCAAACGAGATAAGCATTTTAGTGCATAACAACGGCAAATGCAGGAAATTGGCAAACAATTTCAAACACGAACTGCATTCCGACAAAGATAAATAGTTCATCAAGGCAGAAGTAAACGACATATATGTTGAACGGATAAGATAAGAGATCAGGTAAAAATGTTTATTTTGATTCAACATTTAAATGACATCACACAGTAAATTAAGGTAAAGTGCAGCGAATATAAATTAAAGTCTATCGTGTTCCAATTTAGCCAGCAATTCTGTCACGAGTTTCCGGTTCATTGAACTTTCCGGGTGGACACAAGTTTGACTAGAACGGAATGTAAGATGTTGAGCGCTCCCTATAAGAAGTCTTTGTGTTGCTGTAACTTATGATGACACCAGTTCAACGCAAAAGTAAAGGACGTGAACATTTTCGTAGATGTCGCTTGGAAAAAAAATGTTCCCATCAAATGCACGCAAATCCCGCCTGAATTTCTCTCTATGTCGGATTTTCCTGCAAATATGTATTTTCAATTCAAAGTGAATGGCACAGCGTCATTTCCATCGGCAATACTGCAATGACATTTTGAACAATTGCAATCCCCTGTGACTTGCTACAACAATTTGTTCGCGAATTTTCCATCGCTAATTTTTCGTTTGAGTCTATGTGATGCATTTCACTCATTATTAACAAAATGACATGGCATCGTTATATGCATACAAAAACCAAAACTACGTGAACTGTACACCACCAATGAATGTTCAAAAGTTGTTTGACTTCTCGTTAGTCGATTGTTTGCACACAGATTCATGCGTGTATGATATATAGATATGCTTAAAAAGTGAGGAAGCGACACAGACCGTGCACCTTCATGAAGTGGTTGTGCCGATTTTCAGTGCAGAGAATGGATGAAAAAGCACACGAAATTATGTTTGACGAAAGAATTGAAAGGTATCGTTAGCATTGTAAACAAATAGCTGTACGAACACAGCTAAATTAGAGGAGATATTTGTGACGTTGGCTCGTGCATGTGTTGAAATACTGCTCGAGTGTGCTTTTTAACCGAATCTCATTTTTTTGCCTTCTTTTCTTGTTACCTTCCGTTGAATATAGGTGCGTGCTATTCCGTTGAAATCTCGTCGAGGACAAACATTGACTTGTTAAAGCCAAACAACATACAATAGACAGTAGGACGTGTATTTCTGAACCATGCTCACGCTTATACGATCCAGTTTGGCAATTTTTCCTCAAATGTTGCTTAAACGTCGATCCACTTTATAAAATGACATTGGAGATGCTAGTAATTTGGACACTTTTATGATAATGTTATTGCGTTTGAATTTTTAATTAAAAGATCCCATTCCATGTAATGGACAAAAATCAACTCAACAGATGTGAACATTGACAACTTTAAATCCCTTTAGTTGGGAAAAAAGAGAAAACTTTTCATTTCATTTCATTAGATGCTTCGTACTATTCGGTATTAGCGGTATTGCAATTGAGTTAACTGTGTAACTATTTAGTCGCAACATTGGGAAGGGAACACGAAACGCTTACCATACGTTCGGGCTTTCAGTAAAGTTTTCTTGTAAATATTTATGTCACCAGCAGCCCATAACTTTTAATAAGCTCATTTTTTTCCTAACTTGCCACTTGTTACGACAAGATTATACTTTTTATCACCTGCGTCGTTATTTCATCGTGTTTCAGCATTGTTTGGAGAGAGAAAGAGGAAGATAGAGGGAAAGAAAGAAAGAGCAAAGAACAATTATTGAATGTTTCATCGATAATTTGAATTTCACTCGAATTTTCGATAGTTGCTCACATCGCCAATGGGCTGGACCACTAGCTGGAGGAGATTAGTTAACATTTTGGATGTTGGAAAGCGCAAGCATGTAATGCTCTTATCTAAATTGTTGTAGAGAGTAATAACAATTATGCACCGATTACTCAATAAAATATCCCGTACTTTTTGCGGTACGTATCACTCGCTCGTTCGCTCCCTGGATGGTAGTGTGCAACTGATGCAGGAACACTTATTACTTTAATTTTCATTGTTTTTCTTTTTAACAGAATGCCACTATTGATTTTCATTCTATTTGTCTTTTGGCCATTTCTTACTTTCAAAGCACACCTCTTTCTTGCTGCTCCTCCAACCGACCGAACTTTGTGACGCTGTACAATTGATAATGCTCTGATAGTATTATTCCCACTAAATGTAATTCAATTATTTAAACTTTGGACTTGGGCAAAGTCAACACCGAACAAAGTTTCATTGAAACAAGAGCACGCAATACTACACCGACTACTATCCGAAAGTTTACAGACAAATTTTTTTGTCTGTCTTTCCTCTATCTTCCCCTTTTTTTCTTTCGTCGTTTTTTTTTTTGTTCCTATCTCTTTTTCTTTGTTTCTTGTCGTTATTGTTGCCGTAGGTCTCTCTCTCTCTCTCTCTCTCTCTTTCTCTCGCGTATTTTCATAAAACTTTCGGTTACCCTGTCATTCATTGTGTTAAGCTCGATTTTTCTTACGTATTCGGTAGCCAGTGAGCAGTTGTGCAAGCACTTGAACAAATAGGGAGTGCAGCATGCAGAGACTATGGCCAATTAAATAAAAGAAACACGTATCGAATGCATCGTCACAATATTCGGTTGAAATCGGCTAAATATTATAACGTTGTGAATGGGGAGATACAGAGATGAGAATTTTGAATATAGCTATTCGATGTAATTGGAAATTCGTGCAAATCTTCCCTGGCAAATTTTATCATTTCATTCGTTCATTCCGTTTCGTTACTACATTTCTTTTTCCTCCATCGACAGTTTCAGTTTTTACACATAATGACAGGAATTTTATTAATTTCGAAATTGCACACACACACACACACAAACACTGTCTCTCTCTTTCTCACTTATAATCGCGCAATCTCCAATATATTGCGTCATGGATGCCTTCATTATCTTTTATTATTTAATATAATTTAGTTAACTTTGCTTTGTTGCACGATAATCGATTTAATAAAATTATAACGACGAAAATTAATTACACATTACATCCCAAGTG